CCTGCTCGGACACCATCTAGGAGGCGTCTATAAATAGTCCTGGGCGCTAAACTGAGCAGTCCTGCCCTGTTCAACGCACTTGTGCCTACTATGTCGAAGCAGCAAAAACTGCATAAACACAATTCTGGAGCTCCGCGCGGATTTCTTGGATCGGCGCTGGCGCCCACATGCTGGCGCGCGAGGCGCGCCAGGGGCGGCGCCGGAGACGCCGCCTGAGGGGCCCAGCGCGGATCCAAGAAATCCGCGCGGAGCCCCGAAATTTCATGTGTACAGTCGGGACGTTGACCTAAGGAACCCTAAATAAGGAACGAGGCCCCTTCTTCCCATCAGTTAAAACTCGATTTCCCATCGAAAACCTAAGGAACACCTAAGGCAAGCTGTGAAACAATCAAGGAACACGGAGCCCCTCCCCAACGAGAAGGGTTTCTTCTTCAGCGCCCCGGCTGTATGCCAACATCAGGTGGTCGACGCAGGCAAACGGAGCGGTCTTCACCGACGCTTGGCGCTTCAGCCAGCCGGGCAAGGTCGCACGTGGGCGCCCTCTTTGTTCCAGTGTGGCTAGCGGTGCGCGTGCAGTCGGGGCGCTGAAGAAGGAAGCCTTCTCGTTGGGGAGGGGCTCCGTGTTCCTTGACTGTTTCACAGCTTGCCTTAGGTTTTCCTCAGGTGTTCGATGGGAGATCGAGTTTTAACTGGTGGGAAAAAAGGGGCCTCGTTCCTTATTTAGGGTTCCTTGAGTCAACGTCCCGACTGTAGGCCACCGCGTAAGGTCTCCATGTCGTGGTGCGTGAGGTCCCTTTTTCGTTAGGCGGCGAATCCAGGGGGGAGATGCAGATGGTCGAGCCGTCTCGGAAGGCTCGGAAGGCCTCCTGCCTTCTGGGAGGCTCTCCAGGCCTTCGTCGCAGGCAGCGGCGGCTTCTCCGAAGGCCAGACGGCCTTTCAGAAGCCCCGCCGCCTTCAGAGAAGCCCCCTCCCACTTGGGTTATGATGTTCCGACCTACTTTAGCCTTGATCACCAGAAAGAATTTCGAGCACCAGAAAAGTACTCCAAAACTCCATGGTTTTCACGTGTCGGGCCCTGGGAGACATTTGTCCGACACTGTTTCGACACTTTTTCGATACTCTTCCGACACTTCTCCGGGTGCTCGAAATTATTTTTGGGATGTGGTCCTTAAGTACGATGGGAGCAACATAACAGTTGGGGCGTTCCGGAAAGGGCCCTGCCTTCGAGGATCGAAGGCGTTGCCATCTCTTCCGCGGCGGAAGGTCGGCGGAAGTAAAAAACGGCGGCGGCTCCGCTGGCGGAGGCCGGTGGAAGCTTGGCGGAAGCCGGCGGAAGCAAAAGCCGACCTCCCAAGAGATGACAACGCTCAGGAGGAGAAAACATCACAGACACAAGTAATCGTCGACTCCCAGGAAAATATGCGAAAATATGGGAAGTGGGGGGGAAGACGAAAATCCAGAACATATGGGGAATCCTGTTATTTGTGTGTATTTATTTGTGTGTCCCAGGGCCCCTTCGAAGTCGACCTCCCAAGAGATGACAGCACGGCGTCAGGGATGGGCCCTCGTTGCAGGGGCACGTTGCGTCTTTCTGCTCTGGCCACCTGCAGCACGTTTAGGCGCGCGCATCCTTGCAGCGGAAGCCCACGCCAAGGAACACGCTGCTTGCCTCTAGGGTGCGCTGGATGTCTTGGGTTTCAATGGTTCTGCGATGGAGAGCGTGACGCTCCCGCACCAGAAGTCAGTGGACGTCCTGGGGTCTCAGGGTTGGGTTTCTTGTGGACGGTTTCTTGTGGTCGAGCTCATATTGTAGCTTTCGCGCCGTGTCTTGCATCCTCAGACTGCATCCTTGGCGCCGCTGCCGACTGTTGTCGTCGCTGATTTGATGGTGTCTTGATTTGTCCCAACCATCCTGTGGTGTTGGGCCCTCGTTTGGGAGATACAGCGCCCCGCGTTCCTTCCTTCCTCCTCTCCTCATCCCCCTCCTCCTCCCTCCTCCCGCCCGTTTCGGCCCTTCCCTCACACGCGTCGGGACCCCATAGGGAGCTCCACCTAAGGCCCGCATTGCACCACCGCACATGTTTCGGCACACCCCTCACACGCTTCGTGGCCCCATATGGAGCTGCACCGAAGGCCCCAGAGGCAGCGCCCACATGGCACCACCGCACACGTTTCGGCACATTCCTCACATGTTTCGGGCTCCATAGGGAGCTCCACCGAAGAGGATTCGCATCACCGCGGCACTCACAACTGCATATGGTTAGGTTTTTCGCCAGGATGATTTCAATGCGCGGTCCCCAGAAGCCGAGTCGTCTTGTTGACGGCTCCAAAGGCCGGTAAGGGCCCCTGGAGGCCAAACATCGAGAAAATGTTCTCCGCCCTGAGTTTTCCCAACCCTTCCGTGCTGGATTCTCGTTTTGAGTAGAGCGCTGTGGCTTCCACCTCTCCTCTCCTCTCCCGCCTGCCCCCTCCTCCTGCCTCCTCAGGCGCTGCTCCCTGGGTGGCTGCGAGCTGCGCAACTGTCGCCACTTTCGTGCGCTCCTGGGAGGGGTCCAGCGGAATCGGGGGCCACGCGGACCCAGACAGGACCTCGCTGCTCCTCGGGTGATTGCGAACTGCGCAGCTGTCGCCGCTTTCGTAGGCTCATAGGAGGTCCAGCGGAGTTGGGGGCCACCCGGGCCCAGACGGGACCTCGCTGCTCATGTTCCGAATTGCGCAGCTGTCGCCACTTTCGTGGGCACCTAGGACGTCCAGCGGGGTCGGGGGCCACGCGGATCCAGCCGAGACCTCGCGGCTCCTTGGGAGGTTACGAATTGCGCACCCGTCGCCACTTTCGTGGGATCCTGGGAGGCACGGCGGAGATGATGGCAGCTCAGATCGTGCATGTCTGGCGATGTGTTCTTGTGTGTGGCGTTCACACAGGTACTCGCCTCGCGTCGAGAAGGGGTTGGGGACGTCTCGGGCAAGGTCAGGACACTGCATGTCTGGGAATGCGTGAGACCCTTTCTGCTGTCATCGCTCAGGCTGTTTTTTGTGCCCGTGGCAAGTCGGCGGCGAGCCCAGCGGGGAAGTGAGAAGGGGCGGGCCGTATCAGAAGGCTCGGAAGGCCGCCGGCCTTTTGAGAAGTTCTCTCGGCCTTCCCCGAAGAGAACGAGCAAGGCTCTCAGAAGGCGCGAGGGCTGCTGGGAAGCCCCGCCGCCCTCGGAGAGGGCCTTCTCCTTCTCGCTTCCCACCCTCGCTCGCCGCCGACTGCCCCGAGGCCCTCCTACCCTTGCAGGCGGCCCGGAGAAGTAGGTCGACCCTGCCAGCTCAAGGGTACCCTCGTGTCCTGTGCCTTGCGACCCATGCTTCCTGCATTCCCGTGGCAATGTTGCCCTCGGAAGGGTCTTGTGTCCTTTCACGTGCCCTGTCCAATCGAGTCCGACTGTAGACTCTACCCCTACTCCGAGTTTCTTAATACGCGTCGGGGAGGGCGTCACCCCCGCCGACAGCCCCACATCGACCCCCGTCGCGGGCAGCCACGGCGCGCTGAAGGCGTTCCGACCCCCGTCGCGGCGCGACGACGAGGCGAGGTTGACCCCCGTCGGGGGGGTACAGTCAACGCGCCTGGTAAGGACGCGCGCCTTCATCTAGGGTACCCTTGTGTCCTTGCCTCTGAGGCCCGTCCTTGCCATTATCACTGGTCGCCCGCCGCCCTATAAAGACCCAACTTCGGCCTCCAAGGGTCTTGCGCCCTTCTCACCCGTCCTTTACACACGTTCTGACTGTACCCCCCCACGCTTATTGTTAAGAAACCCGGAGTGGGCCCTCGGCCCTCGGGGCCTGCCCCTGGGCCACGCCCCGAGGCCTCAGGACCTGCCCCCACAGGCCTCGGCCCTGCCCCCCCCCCGGCCCTGCCCGCCCCGCCCGCCGCCCAGCAGCGGCCCCCCGCTGCCCCCCGAGTGGGCCCTCGGCCCTCGGGGCCTGCCCCTGGGGTCACGCCCCGAGGCCTCCTCCTTCCTCCTACCCTCCCCCCCCTCCTCCTCCCCTCCTCCTCCTCCTCCTCCTCCTCCCGCCTCCTCTTCGTCCTCCTCCTCCCCCTCTCCTCCTCGAGGCCTCCGAGGCCTCAGGACCTGCCCCCACGTCCTTCGCCCGCCCCCCCCCCCGGGCCTTAGCCCCGCCCCGCCGCGGCCCCAGCAAGCGGCCCCGGCTCGGCCCGCGGGCGCCCGCGTGTGGCAGCTCGCGCCGGCCCAGGACGAAGCCACGGCGCCCAGGGAGCAGAGGACGAGCGCCCAGAGGCCTCCTCATCCTCCCCCTTCCTCCTCCTTCCCTCCTCTTCCTCCTCTCATCCTCCTCCCACCTCCTCCCCCTCTCCTCCTCCTCTCCTCTCCTCCTCCTCCTCTCCTCCCCCTCCTCCTCCTCCTCCTCCCCCTCCTCCTCATCTCTTCCTTCCTCATCCTCTTCCTCCTCCTCTCACCTCCTCCTCCTCCTCTCCTCCTCCTCCGCCTCTCCTCCTCCTCCTCCTCTCCTCCTCTCCTCCTCCTCCTCCTCCCTCCTCTCCTCCTCCTCCTCCTCCCCCTCCTCCACCTCCCCTTTCCTCTCCTCTCTCCCCTCATCCTCCTCTCCTTCCTCCTCCTCCTCCTCCTCCTCTCCTCCTCCTCCTCCCTCCCTCCCTCCCTCCCTCCCTCCCTCCCTCCCTCCCTCCCTCCCTCCCTCCCTCCACTCCCTCCCTCCTCCCTCCCTCCCTCCCTCCCTCCCTCCCTTCCCCTCTCCTCCTCCTACTCCTCCTCCTCCTCCTCTCCTCCTCCTCTTCCTCTCTCATCATACTCCTCCTCCTCCTCCTCTCCTCCTCCTCCTCCTCTCCTCCTCCTCCCTCCTTCCTGCCTCCTCCTCCTCCTCCTCTCCTCCTCTCCTCCTCCTCCTCCTCTCCTCTCCTCTCCTCCACCACCACCACCACCACCACCACCACCACCACCACCCCCACCACCCCACCACCACCACCACCGCCGCGCCGCGCCCAGTGCCCCGCGCTTGGAGCTGCACCGCGTGACCCGCAAGGACAGGGCCGGGGAAGAGGCGGCGGCACCTGCTCGTGCGGTTCCAAACGGGACCCCAGGGAGAGGGATTTTTGAGACGGGCGATGTCGATGTTTCCAGTTTGCCTCACCGAGCGCGTTCCAGTACTCGCAAAGTGCCTACTCGCAAACGTCCGAAAAAAAACACATGTCTGCTTTGATGTAATGTATAGATCCTCCGCGGGGGATCCAGGCCATTTGCGAGTAGTCATTTTGCGAGTAGTGGAACGCGCTCGTCTATGCTCGGCTTGGCCCGCAAGATTGTCGCACGACGCTCTCACTCGCACTTCGAGGTCTCAGGTGCAAGGCCGCGGTCTCAGAAGTCACTTTCGCTGGCGTCCCTTTGAGAAACGCAGCACCTGCGGCGCCGCCCCTGGCGCGCTCCGCGCGCCAGGGAGGGGGGCCCAGCAGATCCAAGAATTCCGCGCGGAGCGCCAAAAGTTTATGCTGATACCGTTTTTTTTCTTCTAGAGAAGAAGCATAAGAAGAAGAAGAAGAAGAAGAAGAAGGCCTTCTCAGAAGGCGGCGGGACTTCTCAGAAGCCCTCGCGGTTTCTGAGGAGTTTTCTGCGTCTTTGGGAAGGCTTGGGAAGCTTCTCAGAAGGCCGGGGAACTTGCGAGCCCTCTGAGAAGGCCCGCCTCCTCTCACTTCCCCCCCCCGGGCGCCCCGCGCCTGATCGGGAGCGGAGCTCGACCGAGGGGGCACAGTTGGAAGGGGGGTGAGGGGGGGGGGCCAGGCGCGAGGTTGGAGATTCGAGGATCTGGGGCGCTCTCGTGGGCTCCCCTCCTGCTGGCCAGCCTCCGGGAGGCTCGCCGGCAGCGGCGCGCTCCGCCGAGAGGCGTCCGCGGAGAGGGGGCCTGGGTCCTCCCGGAAGGGGCGCCGGAGGCCCGAGAGGCGGCTCGCGAGAGAACCACCACTCCTCCTCCTCCTCCTCCTCCCTCCTCCTCCTCCTCCTCCTCCCCCTCCTCCTCCTCCTCCTCCTCCTCCTCCTCCTCCTCCTCCTCCTCCTCCTCCTCCTCCTCCTCCTCCCTCCTCCTCCTCCTCCTCCTCCTCCTCCTCCTCCTCCTCCTCCTCCCTCCTCCTCCTCCTCCTCCTCCTCCAGGGACCTGGCACGGGCTCCAGGGGGGAGGACGCCCGAGATGGGCACGGAAAGAATGGGTACGATGCCCAGCAGCGGTTCGTGAGAGAAAAAAACGCACACACTGGGGGGGACAGCAACAAAAATGTAGTGGGGGAAACACACACACACACACACACACACACACACACTGTGGAACAAGACACGTGTGTTTTTTTTCCCACAGTGTCTGTTTTTTTTCCCACTGTTTTTTTTGTCCCACAGGGTCCACTCTGAACAGGACTCGCTGTCCGCGCCGCCGCGGCCTCTGTCCCTTTGAGACAGAAGGCCGCCTGGGCCCAAAACGGCTTCAAGAGAGCCCCATGCTGTCCCAAGAAAGCATCTGGCTTCCTCCTCCTCCTCCTCCTCCTCCTCCTCCTCCTCCTCCTCCTCCTCCTCCTCCTCCTCCTCCTCCTCCTAGCCGCCGTTTCGCAGCGCGGGGGGGGATTTCGGCGCGCGAGGGGAGCCCGACGTGCTACCGCGTCCAGTCGCGGGGCCGCAGCAGGGCAGGGGGCCGCGGGGAAGGGAGGGGTGGCATGCGTGGCGCGCGTAGCACAGCGTGGTGAGCGGCACGTACAACAGCATGCGCGTGGCCACCTACAACCCCATGCACGCCGCGTACCACGATAGGATCATTGACATCAGTACTGCATTAAAGGACTGGGAAGTCATCATCCTCACTGGTACGAGCAATCGTGCCCTTGAAGACCAGCCAGCACAGCAGCACCATTTCGGACATCATTGGGGAGTGCAGCTTGGTTATAAGAAGGGCAGGTTGACGAGCACGGCGTGTGGGGCCAGTTTTCTTGTCAAAAGCAACCTGCCCACGCAATCCCTCCACAAGGTGATGAGACCCCCCTCGGAACTTCAAGGTAGAGTAGCAGGCATCCGATTGCAGACTGCACAGATCGACACGGCGATTTTCGGTGTTTATTTTGCCCCCACCTCGGTGCAACGACATGGAGAGATAGCTCGTAAAATAACTAAGTGGCTGGATGACCAGATAGACAAGCTGGGGGTGAGGACCAACATCATCGTAGGTGGTGACGTCAACTCGGATTTCGGTCTCTCTCGGGACCGCGACGGCAGCGTTCACACTACGAAGAGTATCAGCTTAGGAGGCCATCGCCCGAAACTTGAGAACCAGAACGGTCTCGAGTTCAGAGAGTTTTGCGAGCGCAACCAGTTATTCATTGCATCGGCCAGCAGTAAAGTTAACGACACCTTTTTCGGCCCCACTGGTGGACAAAGCCGTATCGATCACATAGCGTTCCCAGTCAATGCAAGACACCAGCTACGAGCGTGTGCAGCACTTACGACAGCTGGAAAAAGGTTGCAGACGATCAAAGCACGTGGCCATCGAGATCACGTCCCTGTTGGTCTTGACTTGGACGTCAGTCTTTTCCATCATCGAAGTAAGAGACAAAAAGAGGAACGCCCAGACCGCAGCGCCCTGATGAGATGTTTGACCAGAGGCTACAAGAGGAGAGACTTCTTCGAGAATGTTGACAAGAACCTATCGGAGGTAGGAGAAGGCTCTTTCCAAAAAGCTCTTCTGCAAAAATCACCAGACGCATATTGGGGCATCTTCGGCCTGTGCGTGCGACAGGCTCTACTAGACACGTTCCCAGAGCAGCCCCTGTACGTAGACAACATGTACGAGCACATGCGCGCGTACCGCGTGCACATGTTGGGCAGGAGGAGGGAGCTGAGGGAAAAGATGGTGGATTGCAAGAGGGAGGAGGAGTTTTTGGACGTCTGCGAGGATCTTAAGGAAATAACAGCTTGCATGAAAAAAGATCAGAAAGCAGTACCTCCTTCGGAAGTGAGCGGATCTCGCAGGCCAAATTTGGAACGCTTATGTGGAGCAACGTTATTCGGACATGCACAAGTTGAGAGTACTCTACCAGGGCAACGGGAGGGGGCCCAAGCGTCGGTACTATTACAGTCCCAGAACAGGGTGGAACAACAGAACATGGGAGGAGGAATTGGGGAAGGCGGCAAAGGATGGAGGATTGGCAGGGGTAGCTATAAACTGGAACGACGAGCTCAGTCACTATAGGTACGACTGTGAAGATTACGAGCTTGCCTATGTTGATGCTGACCTTCTCCATTTAGTACAGAAAGACCGACGACCGATGCTCAGATATTGCCGCAGGGCGGCAAAAAGACGTGCTTATCCCAGCTGGGGCCTCCCCGCAGAAGCAGCGTGGCTACTATTGCAGCCGAATGTCAACATGGAGTCTCCGAATAAGCTGAGCGAGTTGAATGAACAAAGGCAGATTAGACATGCTGAAAAAATGGAGGAGGAGGAGATGGAGAGATTTACTGCGGAGTTCACGTACCGAGTGGGCAGGAGGCTACTGGAGAAGATGGGGTGGACAAGGGGAGAGGGGCTCGGGGCGCCTGGACCTGACGGCGCCGCTCGACCGCCAGAGGCACCGCCGGAGGGAGACTTGTGGCAGTTTCGTCGGGAGGAAAGGGCAGGTTTGGGGAGTACGGAATTGTGCGCCGAAACGCACGCGTTTGAGAAGGTGCTGCAGGATTATCTAGTACACATCCGTCGATGTCAAGCCATGCCCCTCTGCAGCTACAGGTCCCTGAGCTTCTCGAGTGACAAGGCAAATGGCAAAAACAACATAAGTGGCAAGCGCATTATGCACTGCTATGATGCCTTCTCCATGGCCTGGCACTCGGGGATACCCTATCGAGCACAGAAGGTATGGACGCCTACATGGGCACAGGGGGGGATAGCACACAGAAGCAGAGATAGCATCATCACCATCATCATGTGTAATAAGTGGAGGGCGGAGTGCAATAAGAAAAGTCTCATCGTGAGCAACTACGATTGTACCAATGCTTTCGCAGCGACAGAAAGAGAACGTCTTGAGATCCAAGCTGAGGAACATGCATGCCCCGAGGACGCCTCATTTGCTATCGCGACGGTGCGACAGCAGACGATGACCATGGAGACGTCAGACGGTACATTAGACATAAGGTCCACTACAGGTACTCAGATGGGATTTACTACAGCTCCTAGAGACTTTATCAAGACCTACAACAAGGAGGTGGAGGAGTGGAGGATGGGAGAGAGAGCGCACGGAGAGCACAGATGGTTCTTTACTACAGATCCTCGTCACCCTGACCTACCCCCTATTGATACCCAATTGAGTGTGTTTATGGACGACATCACGAAGAGCACTGTCATTGAGGAGGGGGCATCGGCGGCTAAGGTCACCGAGATACTGAACGGCAGCACATCTAGGTTGGAAAGTTGCCTGGCCAAAGGGCAGTGGACGCTCAACCCTAGCAAAACTAACCATCTTCTCGATTTACGGGGGGCTCGACACTATCAGACAACACGCCGCTTGAGACGCAGTAAAGAACTAAAAGGTCAAGCCCTACGAGAGATGCGTGTATTAGGTCCGCATTTACCGAGTGAGCAGGGCATGTTGAGCGAGGTATTCAGGAGAAGTCAAGCTGCCCGACAGGCTTGGCGACAATGCGGGTGCTTCTGGACGTCCTCCACAGCTAAATGTATACGACGTGCGATGTTTCAGGCTTTCGTAGTGGAAGCCGCTCTTAGTGGATTATCTGCCTTCGTCATCCCTGATAAGTTTGTCAGCATCCTAGACCAGACCCTGGGGAAGTTTTTGAGGGTGCTATGTAAAGGAGAGATGAGCTGGGTGACGGAGGAGGGGGAGAGGCGGTGCAGGTCTACGAAGTATGTTTTCAGAGCATGGCAGGTCCCCAGATGTGCAACGCAGTTGACAGTACGAAGGATTCGAAATTACCTCCGCTGGGCGAAGTATCCAGATGATCATCAGGCGGTGGTAGCTGCGGTGTTTGGCACAGCTTGGATGGACC